AGGTGGACTCCAGGAGGACTCCAGGTGGACTCCAGGAGGACTCCAGGAGGACTCCGGGTGGACTCCAGGTGGACTCCAGGAGGACTCCAGGATGACTCCAGGAGGACTCCAGGAGGACTCCAGGCAGAGCCAGCACTCAGGGGTACGACTCAAACCTTAGCTGACCCACCTGCCTGCTAGACGTCTCAGAGGACCGGAGTCCTGCGCTCACCTGGAGGTTCTTCCAGCTGCTGCAGAGGAACCAGATGTTTGCTGCAGATGTTGTTCAAACCGGACCGTCTAACTGCCCGCCTGGAAAGAACGGCTCCAGAGGAGATGATTCAGTTTGACTGATGACCTTCATTGCTGAATCTTTATTTTGAGGCTCTTGTGTTTTATTCACTCTGGGAGATCTTTTGGAGGTTCCTCCTGAAGTTCTTGTGGATTTTTTGTTTAATTTTTGCTCCTGAGAGGAAAGTTGGTGCAGAAAAAACAAACGTTTCGCTCCGATGATCTGAATGTTTGAGTGTTTATTAAATCTGGTCTTCACGAACATCTACCTCAGTATTCACTCGGTAACAGCAGCAGCCTGAGGGACATCATCATCATCATCTTCATCTTCATGGTGGTCCTGAACGCATCAGAACCCGTCGGTTCTTCAGCGTCTCACTGGGCTGTGACTCTTGACCTTTGACCTCCTGGCTCTGTCTGCAGTCAGCAGCCTTGTTGAAACCTTTTTCCCTCAGACCACCTTCAGAGGTGGTCCGGACCAGACCGGACCCCTTTAATGAGCCCGTGCCGATCCGAGCTGTAGAACCTCCAGTCTCTCAGCGGCTGGTTAAAGAGAACCTTCAGGAACACTTTGGAATATTTACGTTTTTCAGCTGAAGGTTTTAGTCATGAAGGAGTTCTGCCTTGATTGTTCTCATTGGACCACATGTGAGGACCTTAAAATGGTTCTGGTTGGATTTGGACTCACTGTGATCAACGAGAGCGACAGTCTGTGCAGAACGTCACGTTACGATCATCTGAGCTGATGTTACGTCCTGGCGAGGACAGATGTTTGATGTTACGTCCCGGCGAGGACAGATGTTT